AAAAAAATGATTTATGAATACAGCACTCAAATGCTATATATTTGTATATCATTATTTTTATACATGCAAATATATATATTTATCTTTTAAAAATTAAAATATTATTATTTTATAATGCCTGTGCACGTAAGTCCATGGTGCAGATTGATGCAGAAAAAAAAATAAAAACAAACAGTGTCCTCCAATGTAAGCTTGTAATATTTGCTCCGCAAAATAGACACTCAGATATCCAAAAGTGGAAGAAAGCCACATCATTGTCCAGAAAAAGAAAAAAAAACATAAAACCAATATTAGAATCAAAAGGAGAAATTTTGAAATCTTCAAAATTAACCTACATAAAATGCAATATATTCATTCACAAATTTTGAACCATATCAAAAGAAATATGGATAAACTAATAAAGACTAACAAATGGACTCCAACCAATGATTGCTAAAAAAGCCATCCAACATGGGAGTAAACTCACAAAATTGGCAGTCAAGTACAATATTAAAAAGCGAATGTGTCCACTGTCAAGAAAGTGAATGCTTGAAGTTCGTTAGATTGATTTTAGCCATAGACTTTTGATTTCATAACTCGCCAAATATTGTACATATGTTTAAGTGATAAGCTAAGTCTAGAATCACCAAACTTTACATTATTTCCTTATTGTTACAATGTGTGGAGCTTGATTGTTGTGGATAATCCACTATTCCAACGCCTCTTTGGGAGCTCTCTGGTCCAGAGAATTGGTTGCTCTTGCGCCCATAAGTGGCACCCAGATGCCATAAGGGTGCTCTGTGCACCTAGCATTGGGAAATTCAGTGTTTTTTTAGGGCACAATTGCATCAAGCGTTGCTCGTTTATAGGTACAAAAATAGAGCAGTCGACATTCCACCTCCCAAGTGGGGCGCGACAACGCCATAATCGTGACTTCAGCTCGAGCGCACGAAAAGGTAGTGTCTGGAAGTGGCACTCTTTCGCCAGGAGCAATTTTTGTTCAATCAGAGATTGAATATGAAGATAGTGGAAGATAATTCAACGTGTGAACTTAAGTACTTTTTACATTGTGGCTAACAAGTAGTGTTATGTGAGCATCAAGTTTGATGATGAGGTCAAGACACGATTAATTCTAACTTCATTGTCAGACAGTTCAGATTGGTTGATCACAATGGTGAGTAACACTTTAGATAATATGACTACTATGTTTTATTCTAAGTCAGTATTGAATCTCACATAGTAGATTCAGGTGTCTTTTTTCATGCATGACATAAATAAAGAAGTGTTTAAAAACTACAATCACAGTGATCTAGGGAAAGTGTGATTAAGAGATAATAAGTCTTTCAATATTATTGGAAAGAGTGTTGTTGATATCAGGTTATCAAATGAAACTTTCTAGAATCTCAGTAAAGTTAGACAGGTTCCAAGTTTGAAGAGAAATTTAATATTGGTGAGATTGATTGCAGTCAGGGTATATGGCTACTTTCATAGGTGATTTATTGAAGGTAACTAGAGAGCAAGGGTGATGGCTCGAAACAATATTTAATGCACTCTTTATCTGATTAATGAGTCAGCATAATCCATGGATGTGGTTGGAAAATAAGTTAATGCAAGGCTTTAGCACCACACACTTGGCCATATGAGGGAGAAAGTATGGAGTCGTATATTCGAACAAGCTCTAAGATTTAAAATTTATAGATCTATATTTTTGTGAAGATTGTGTATATATCAAGCATAAGAAAGTTTCTTTCTTCAAAAGTGGGTCAGTGGTGAAGTCCAAGAAGTTAGAGTCAGTGTATACTAATGTAAGGGTTCTCACTCCAATTCGGTTGTTTAAAGAATTTCATCATTTTATCATTTTCATAGATGATCACAACAAAAATATATAAGTTACTTCTAAAAGCATAAATATGATACATTTGGGACAAATAAGAAGTGGATGGCCATGGTATAAAATAAGACATGTTTGAGGTCGAAGTGCCTTGGATAAGATAATTGTGACGAATATCATGATTAGAGGTTGTGAAGTTATTGTGCTTAAAAAGGGATCAGACATAACTTAGTAGTTCCAGTGACACCATAACATAATAGTGTGACTAAGCGCATGAATAGAACCATCATAGTGTCTGCCAGGAGTTTGAGGTTACATGCAGGCTTACTAAAACAATTTTAGATAGAAGAAAAAAAAAATTGTTGTTTATCTGATAAATCGTGACCTATCATTACCTTTGAATGAAGGCTTATCTAAAGAAGTTTAGAGTGAGAAGGAAGTAAATTTATCTCATTTGAATCTATTTGGTTATCCAACATATGATCGTGTTGATGTAGAATACAGAAGTAAACTTGAATTAAAATCTACCAATTGCACTTTCATTGGATATGACTCAGTAGAATTTATGTACTAATTATGAGACTATTAGAATCAAAAGTTCATCAAGAGCAAAGATGTGATATTTAATGAAATGGAGATATATAAGGACATAAACAAAGCTCAAGATTTTTCATCGGCTATTTCTGAAGAGTCATCCAAATATGTTGAGATCGTAGATAATTGTGATCGAAAAATAGAGAAATAAGATGTGCTCAATCTGATGAATCACAAGAAGTTACTTAGACACCTACTACTGAAGTTAAAAGGTTTAGCAAAATCATGAGATTGAGATAATGGTATTATCCTTATTTTTAATTATCTTCTACTAACTGAAAGTGGTAAACTAGAATGCTATGAAGAGACCACTCAAGTTGAAGATTCAAAGAAGTGAGAGTTTTCCATGTACAATGAGATACAATCATTGAGGTCAAAATAAAGTTGGATTTGACATAATTATCATATAGCAAAAGAGCACTACACAACAAGTAGGTCTACAAGCTGAAAGAACAGTTTGGAGGTAATAGGTGTACACGACATGGCTTATTGTGAAAAATTTTAGTAGAAAGAATGAGAAAACTACGCAGAGATATTTTCTACTATTGTGAAGATGGCATTTATAAGAGTTCTGCTGAGCTTATTATTATAGGAAAATCTCCGTGTAGAGCAAATTGATATAAAGATAGCCTTCTTACATGGTCATCTGGAAGAGAAATTCTATGTGTTGCAACTGCTGATGATAAATGAAAATTTTGTTTACAGGTTAAAGAATATCATTTATGGTTTAAAGCAGATCTCGAGACAGTGGTAAAGAAGTTTGATGGTTTTATGTAAGATAGTAGGTACAAGAAGTGTCAGGCTGACCATTATTGCTTCATAAAAAATTTTGGTAATTATTATATTTTAAAGTGTCAGGCTGACCATTATTGCTTCATAAAAAAATTTGGTAATTATTATATTTTTGCTTCTTTTATACATAGATGATATGTTGATTGTGTAGGTAAAGATGGAGAAAATCAATGAATTGAAAGAAA